AGTATAGAGGTAGGTCAACGTAGACCAAATGTTCCAATGTTAGGAATGCAATAGACTCAGAATAAGTTGTCTGAATTCCCTCTTCTTTAAATATTTGCCGAATGGCTTGTGTGACAAGAGATCTCAAGCGGTTGAAGGTCAAAACATTTGTAATGTGTATGCCTTCTTATAATAGCATTCCCTTCAGTACCTAGTCCTTCATTTTGAAAGAGTGAGGCTAGCCCCTAGTCATAATAGTCAATAGTACGTTTACCCCTGGTTGTCTTGATACAAACTTTGATCCCTCTTGTTGTAATGGGCTTGCTGAGAGTAAAAATCATTCCTCTTACCAAGAGACAAATACGTTTGGTGACTTAGCGAGTAGCTAAATGAGGCAGAAGCTGATGCAATGGGTTTCTGAATGGCCAAGATCTCTTCACTTGGTAGAACTTGACCTCCACTTCCCACTTGTTGATAGGGGTTAACCATATGGGAATTCCCTTGGTATGTCCTTGCTTCGGCGGAGGCGTGGTTGTAAGCATGTGCCATCACCTCAGAGTAAGTCTTCCAAGTGTTGGCATTGATCATGTATTTGAAGAAACAATCACGTAGGCCTGCCGTGAAGGCTTTGAGGGCGGTCTTGTCATCTGCCTCAGCGTAGCGAGAATACTCATGGCTGAAGCGATCGGTATACTCTTGTAGTGACTCGTCTGACTTCTGGCGAATAGTGTACAAGTCATCTGCAGAATGTAAGTGATCGGTTTGGAAGATGTGTTGAGAGACAAACAGTTTCCTTAGTTCCTCAAATGAGTCTACTGTCTCGGGTGGAAGACGACAATACCAATTTAGAGCTCCGCTAGAAAGAGTGGAAGGGAAGAAAAAGGACAATACCAATTTAGATCTCCGTTAGAAAGAGTGGAAAGGAAGAAAAGACATCGTTCTTTGTTAGTGTGCATCTGATATGCCATGGTAGACTCAAAGAGGTTAAGGTGTTCAATCGGGTCCTCCTTTCCAGTATAGAGTTGTAAACCAAGCTTTTGTTTTGTCTTCGCTTAAAGGGGGTGTTGAGGATCCTCCTTGTTAGAGGGTTAGGCCTGGGTTAGTTCCAGTCAGGTATCTTGGCCTGACGTTCGGCCTTCAACTTGTTTACTTCCTCAAGGAGCTGTACGACAATAGGGACTTTAGTGGAGTCTTGTACCATTGGAATTGTCTTCCGTAAGTCTCCATTGCCTCTTAGAAGTCGGAAAGTTTGAGCAAGAGCGTGTGGTTTTTCTTTGGACTTGCTGTACTGACTTCTAGGGCGGGTCTGTCGGAATACCTCTGAGTTCCTTGTACCTTTATGTTCCTCTGGGACCTGTCGTTCTTTCCTAGATTGGCAGCTGGCTTGGGTCGTGGGAAGGGATCGAGTCTTTTAGAAACCCTTGGGTCATTGATCTTCGAGCTTATGTGAAGGGGATTCTCTCGACGTTGCTTTAGGAAGTCTCGGCAGTCACGATAAACGGCTTTCAATTCTTCTAACCTTTCTGCAAGGAGGTGACTTCCTCCACTTCTCCTACTTTGGGTCGAAGCAGCTGGGTTGAGAGAAGTCTCATGTTGATCAATATTTTGATGATTAGCTCGCTCCTCATCAGGGATACCCATGTCGAAGGAAGGTGACCTTCCATGTTGGGGGGTACCCATATGATGGTTGATGTCCACACTGGCAACAAGCTCACGTGTTTGAGTACGCCTAGTTTCGTGGAGCGTTTTGAAGAGTTTCTCATATTGTTCTTGAAGGATCTCATTCTTTATTGCTATCTTGTTGTTCTGAGCCTCCAGCTCCTCGACTTTAGCTTGAAGAATGAGTCTCTTTCATTCATTATTTCGTTGTTTCGCACTAGGTGCAAGGGGGGTATCATTTTGTGTGCTGTGGCTTTCTTCGCTCCTTATTTTGGAGAGGGATGCCTGGTCAAAAGAGAGTGTACGAATGGTGGAAACCAGCTTAACAAAGCTGAAGAGAGTGGGAATAAGTGTCGTTCCCACAGACGGCGCCAAATATTGATGCACAAAATCAGTAAGGACTTTGGTACAACAGAAAATGTCAAGTTTGTGACCTTCGCTAGATTGCTCTGGTCACTAGTATGGATAAGTATGTAAATGGATAGAGACAGGGAAGCAAACACAAGTTGTACTTGGTTCACCCAGCTTGGCTACATCTACAGAGTAGAGGAATTCTCATTAATTGTGAAGGTTTTACACTAGTACATAGGTTCAAGCTCTCATTTAGTGAGTACTAGTGAATGATTTAGTACAAATGACATTAGGGATTATTGTGGGAGAATGATCTCATTTTATAGAAGAGAGTTTCTAGCTTTGTTCTGGCCTTGACACGTGTCATGTTGTGATTGGCCTTTAATGTTGACATGTGTTGCCCTGTGATTGGCCTCTTGGTGTTGACACGTGTTGCATTGTGATTGGCCTCCTGGTTTGAGGGAAACTCTTCTGGGTCCTTGACGGTATAACGTTGACCGGTGCTTGGTAGTTTCGGGATTGGTCAAGTATGGTACAAACACGTTGATTAGGTGACAACGTAGAATTGATTGGACAATTGAAATTACAATCCAGGTCAAATTCCTTACCAAAGTATGTATTGGACCTGTCGTTCCTACACTGCCTAAGGTAACCTTGTTGTGTTACAAAGTGGGAAAGGAAGCGTTATGACATGAATGAAACAATGTGATACAATGCACACTTTACGATGCAAAGTTTCTCTCAAACGTCCTGTGATTGATAGTAGCATTATGAAATGCGGTTAATGTTTTCTCCATAGGGATATAGATACAAAGATTTACATGTAAGTTCTTGAAGAATTACATGGACTGTTTCAAATAGTTCCAAAACCATGGAACATCCTCTTAACTTGTTTGAGGCGTTCACTTACAATCCGACGGATATGGTATACCCGTCTAAGTGATTATTTGATACTATGAAGTCTTACTCCAAATTGATAGAGTTACAGTTTATGTCGTTAACACAAATCTCACTAAGACTCCGGAAGAGCTTAAGAAAACTGCCTCGCACCTGAAGATGGAATTTGAGATGAAGGATCTTGGGAAAACTCGTTTATGCTTTGACCTGAAGTTTAAGTGTTGTTCTAATGGTATTTTGGTCTACCAGTCGAACTACACCCTGAATGTGTTACCTTTGAGTATATCTATGATCGTCCATACGTTATATGCAAATGAGACCCTTGAAGAGGTTATGGAATCCGAAATTCCATATCTAAGTCCAACTTTGCACTTTGTTGTACTTAGCTCATTGTATTTAGACAGGACATTTATTTCGCTATTGTCTTGGTAAAGATGCAGCACCGCGCCAACACGCAACCACTAAATTAGTATTAAAGACATACTGCGTCCACATCTACATCAGCAAGCCATGATACATGTATTTCACTATGCCACATGTATCCACTCGACCAAGCCATGATATATCAACGAAGTTAACGCCAAGACATACTGCGTCCACATCTACATCAGCAAAGCATCAGGAGATTGAAGTCATGCAAGTCGATCCCAGACAACCTTGTCGACCTCTACACGATGTCATTGCCGAAGTCAACATTCCAGAAGCTTGTCCGAGGAATTGGTATGCCTAACTATCATATGCAATGCTTGTAGTTCTCATTTGGAAATTATGTCAAACTCAGGGGGAGTATCCAGAAGTATACTCACTTGATCTTAATGTACTCTTTTTCCCTACGATTAGAAGCATTTTTCCCACTGGGTTTTTGTTACCTAACTAGGTTTTAATGAGGCACCCATCCTGGGATGATCATACCCTTGTGAGCTATTCTACTTACGTTCAAAAGACATATAGTTTTGATTTAATGCAACTTCTCACTTTTCTCCTTAGACTATGGGTTTTCCCCCACCTTGGGTTTTACCATAGCGAGGTTTTGTGAGTTTTACTTTTTATGCATTATTTGAGACTCACATTTGCTCATTGTGCAGACAACTTCATCAATTGTACTTGCTTCATCACTGAAGACCTGATGCGCCATTTACTTGAGTATTTACACACTCAAGGGGAAGTGTTGCAGTCCTATTAGATTAGGAAAGTGATTGTGTAAATCCTAGTATATCTTGGAATATCTCTTATATTCTTATTAGGAGTTGATTACCTATTAAATGTTGTAATCCTAAAGGAAAAGGTTTTTACCTATCCTACTACTATAAATAAAGGCACAATGGGGTGGAATAGAACACATCCACAATTACACATCTCTCTCTCTACTATTGCCGCACCTTCCCTCTCTCTCTGGCCTCCATAATTGTTCAGTAAATTATGCCTACAACAAATTCGAAGTATTGTTTTTAATATATGTAATATTTATTATATTAAAACTTGAGAGAAAGATTTGTTGAAAGTATTTGAAAATATTTATGTGGTGTAAGGTAGAATGACATGGTTAGGTATTTATAAAAAAATTAATTTTTTATTAACTTAATTAATCTGGATCTTTGAATTACAAAACATTGAAATCCAACCGAATAGATCGTGACACGTAGCCAACAGTAGCATTTTTTATTTTTCTAATTTTTTTTAGCTGAAAAACCTGGACCGTTGATTAGAAAATCAAATGTTGGGGGTTAGATTTCAAGCTCTTTTTACGGTTGAAAATTCAATGGTCCAGAAAAATAGCTGTTGGACATCCAACAACCCAACTTTCACCAAGTCCGCGACAATTTTCAAAGACGTAAGTGGGCCTGCACGCGGGCTCCATGCTCCATGTGCTGAAATGTTCTCGAGGATGCGCACCCACTCCCTTGTGTTTTTTGAGCGCCTGGCGCAATAAAAAAAAAAAAGAATTCAGTCGTGGCTGACGTAGCCTCGGGCTCTGGGCCTGTCGAATTGAGCTTGGGGGAAAAGTCAGTCTCCCCTAGAGCCCAGTGGGTTGGTCTGGGTGTTTTTGGGGGGAAGGGGCTTTGGTTGCCCTTAGCCCAGGGGATTGATATGGGCTGGAGTTGCTCTAACACGGAGCACTGTTCATGTTTTCTCACTCTGTCGTGCTTGTCGATCTCACACTGTCACTTGCTCTCTGGTCTCTACTACGTTCTTCACAGTAACGGTCACTTTTCCTCTGCATCCCCGTTTACCAAACCAAACGGCTATAATAATATCCCCCTCCTCTCGATTTCTCTGTCTCTCCGAAACCCCAAAAGCAAACGCCAATTTCGTTGAGGTTCACCACTTTTAATTTACTTTAATTACCCCACTGCTGCTGCTGCTCTCTCTCCCCCAAAATGCACAAAAGCATCGGTTTATCTTTGATCCTTTCACTGACCCTCTTCTGCCACTTGATCCCGCCGTCCAAGGCCAAGGAAGGCGTCGTCACGATGGAGCTCTGGTGCGTGGCCAAGAACAACGCGGAGGACGCCCCCCTGCTGACGGCGCTGAACTGGGCCTGCGGGCCTGGTGGAGTCGACTGCCGCCCAATCCAGCAAGGTGGACCCTGCTACGACCCCGCCGACATCCAGAACACTGCCTCCTACGCTTTCAACGACTACTTTCTGAAACACGGCATGACCGCCGATAGTTGCAGCTTTGATAACACTGCGGCGCTTACTTCTCTGAATCCCAGTACGTTGTATCGTTGGTAGCTAATTAGTCACTTTTTTCTTTCTTTGGGAAAAAGGTCCATTTTTCTGATTTATTGCGATCCGTATTGGTAAATAATTAATTAATGAATTAATTAATTATTTCAGGTCATGATAAGTGCAAATTGCCATCCAGGTAACTCAGTCAGCTCATTACATGGTTTTGACATTGTTTTTTCTTCTTGGAATTTTGATGACTGGGTTTTGCCCCCTTTGGCGAATTAACTGGCAAGTAGATGAACCTGGTAATAATACAATGCCACGTAGCTATTAGGGCGCAATGTCACCATGTCAGTGTACATCTGAAGTCGTTCTCGTGTGCAAGACACAAACAAGGGGACCTCTGCAGGGCATGTTTGGGACCCGACTGCGAAGGGTCTCTTTGTTTGTGTGTTCCGATGAATGATCTTTGTCCGATTTGGTTTAGATTCAACTAATGCTTCGCTTTCTCGATCTTAATTTTTAGGCCAAGATTCTATAGGACATTGTTAGCGTTTTAGAATGATATGATAAGGTTTAGCGTTTTATGATGCAACAGCTTATCAGCTAGCAATGCAAGCATCTCCAGTGCATCAACAGCAATTGGAAATGGAATGGGACGTAGTGAAGATTTGAACGGCAGCAATAAGATTTCTGAGCACTGGATTTGGCCCGTCCTTACCAGTTTTCTGGTCATTGCATATAATACATGGGCAATGGGTTAGCGAGCAAGCGAACAAGCAAGCGAGCGAGCGAGCGAGCGTTCTCCCCGGAATATTTTTGTTACATGATCTAGCCTAGGACGAGGAGTTCAATTAAGATCTCACAGATTCACTTCTCGATTAAGTTGGTAGGGATAGATTGCTGTCGATTTTGTTATCTGTACGAGGCTCAAGCTTTGTAATTTGGATTTTCAAAATCAAGCATATCAATGTTTATCTCTGTGTGTTGCAACCAATTTGAGCGTTGTTCCACATTCTGTTATTTGATTACCGAGAATTTCAGCAATACTCCAATTTAGCCAACTTGATCCTTCAATTATCCAATTGGCTAAACAGTTTAGAGAGCTGAAGTTAATTTAGCCCCTAGTGTTGAGAGGTAGGAGTGCTAGTAGTAGTAGTAGAATGGAGGAGGTTAGGAGGAAACAAACTTACATGACACAGAATAAAGAGCATGTATCATGTTTCATTAGCATGAAACGCCAAGCGGTGATATACTCGTACCGTTTAAGTTAAAGTAAAATACATTTAGTTTTCTGGTTTGCTTTTCTTTTTTTCGATCGATGGTTTGCTTTTTCTAATGTGGGGAAAAATTATGAGTAGAGAAGAAAATGAGCATGTGGTGGCCCTGCAACTGCAAGTAACCAGTTTCACATTTGGTATCTGGAGTATTGAAGGAAGCCCTTTCCACAATTTCAACTTCTGTATGAATTATTAGAGAGATGAATTCCATGTGTTCCAAAAAATACAGCTGTAGATTCTGTCTAAACTCGGTACTCTCAGCCCTCCCCTGACAAGTCAAGCAATTATTCATTTGATCTGCTTCTTAGCTTATATACTGCTATTTATTATCGAATTATTTTTTTGTAACCCCTCAAGCTTCAATTAAGAAAATTTTCAAATAAGTTTATTTAATGGACATCTTAGTAGGAATCACTCGTATTATATTTTAACGATCTAAGCGTTTATTTTTATTTTTTATTTTTATCTTTCCTCGAATATCGTCTATACCAAAAATCAATCTAATCGGTAACCATTTTGGGTTGCATTGTGGTAGTTTTAGTTTTCCCTTAAAGAATTATCTATTTTCTTTGCTTAAATTGTAACAATCTTTGATTGGTCTTCTTTTTTACAAAAATAATTTGTAGATGATGTATTAGAATATAGACAATTTAGATCGTAAAATAAAGTTACAGAATGGACCTCACAGAGTTTCCACAATGAAGAATCCCTTAACTGAAGGGAGCCGTAACTGGTATAGGAAGTGCAATTTTATGACACATTTTAAAAGGCAATAACGAAAAAGCAACATGCAACTTATTATGTTTTTCCTCATTTGGTGTGAAGCAAACATATCTGCATCTTTCATATCCTATCTCATGCATTGATTTTAGGATTTAGGTCCTTCGAAGAGGAACCTAATTGAAGCCACTAAGTAATGGATGGAAGCATAATTGGAAGCCAGCTCTTCATTTTCCACCTTTGGGAATTTATTTGAGTGCACGAAAAAGGATGCAAAAGGCCAAGGGAAGGGGTGACACAACTATAACTACTGATTAGATGACACAATTATAACTACTGATTAAAGTTAAGGTTTCATTATGAGATCAATTAACAATATGAGTAGGCCCAATTACAACATATGTAATACAATGTCATTTTTCCCATCAATATAAGATTAATTATCAACAACTATTGCTTAGGGTGTTTAGAGCTAAATAGTTTTACTGATTTCTTAGACTCTAAGTAATTTATTAAGCTGCCATGTTTAAGTTAGTATGTTGATTGTTTATTTTAGTCTAATAGGACAGGTGCGCACTAGATTACTTTAGAAGTGGTGTGTTCTCTTGGGAGTCTCATAGAGTTGCACTCTCAACTGTTGAAGTATGTTAGTGCAAGTGAAGAAAATTGAGGTTTCACTATAAAATCAATTGGTAATATGAGAAATAATTTAATTACATAAAAACACATGCAATATCTTTTCTTTCCCCAATGTGGGATTGATACTCTCAACCGGCGCCCTCCACGTGTGATGAATTTTTAAGCCTCACACGTGGCCAACATAAATCTAGTGATGTGAAGTAAGTGTGGCCATTGGGTTTCACACATGAAACAACATGCTCTAACATCATGAAAAAAGTTGAGGTTTCACCATACCAAATCAAAATCATCCACCGTATCATGGAGTCTTTTGGAGCAGCGGGTCCATTAAGAGCAAGTCCACCTTTAAAGCAATAATTGTCCGGGCAAATGAGCAATAGGCAATTATTACTTTAGTGAATATTAATTGTCCGAGTGCATCTTCATCTCGCAAAATGACTTGTCCAGTCAATTGTTATTAAAAATTAATAAAATAATAAGACTATTTTATCATTATTTTCACTTTTTTTCTTTCTATTTTCTATTTCCTTATTTTTTTTTCTTTCTTCCAGTTTCTCGAAAGCTCTACCCCTTTCTCCAATTTTTTTGCATCGCTAGCTCCCATTTTTTCTCCTCTCCCCCTTTCTCCAAATTTTTCTCTATTGCACATCGAGTGCTCATCGACCATATTCATGTTATATGCTCATCGTGTACTACGCTGGTGTTTGTACTCGCCCGGGCTAAGGCCAGTCTTCACGTGTATGTTCACATCGCACCATATGATCACTTTGGATCCATTTTAGGTGTCAGTCCGGTCTTGTCGATGAGTATTCGATATGATATGTTCGTTTCTTCGAGTTATTGTGATTACCAATTGTCATGTGTTTTAAATGCTGAATATCGTGAATTATTGCATTCTTGTGATATTACGGTTTATGGTAATTGGTTTCATATAATCCGTAGTATGCTATTTTTGGAAACTATACTTATTTTATTGCGAGGGGTTATTATGTTTTCGAAAGGGTTTTACACAGCTTTATTTTTAGGCTCACTCACCCTTGTTTTTTGCCCCTCCAGGTCTTAGTGGCAGAGCTCTTGTGTCGACGAGGATTCTTGGCAAATGTTGGTACAGGAGATTACCGTCGATGGTATAATTTTCATTCTACTTCTATTGTACTTTACTTATGCTTTGACATCACGTGTGAAATGAGTTCATTCCTGCTCACATGCGCACTCTTGCCTTTAGTCACTTTTAGGTTTAAATTTATTCACATTTTCCACATCACTACACTTTATGGCTTCGTCACCTTCTGGGTGTCGACCAGCACAGCTCAATTCGGAGTCTAGGTGGACATTCCTATGTTAATACTTCTCTGTATTACTGAACACCAATGTTTACAAAATCACAAATCACCTTGCATTGCATAGATGACAAGTATTAATACATGACTCGCAAGCTAAGGTAAGCCATAACATTTGTAACCAACTCCTAATATCGATCTAACAAACACTAAACAACCAAACCAATGACTGCATGACATTTGGCAATCAATATCAATAGATTATTTGTACAATTTTTAGCATCGTATCATTTACCCTAGACTTAAAAATGAACTTTGACCTTAAGGTTGAAAAGTAGGAAACCTCTGTTTGAATGCTGCATAGTTTTTCCAAGTGGCATCTCCCTTAAGGTAAGGCTTCTAGTGTACCAAAACCTCAGTAGTAGGTGAAATGTCATGCCTTACCAACCTGTGTTGAAGAATTGCAATGGGATAACCTTCCACTAAGCCCTCATCTATTACCACTGGCAATGAAGCTGTAAGGGCAATCCCAGAACCAATTGTTTCTTCATGCAAGAGCCGTGGAAGATGGGATAAAGCTTCGAAGTAGCGAGAAGGTTAATTTTGTAAGCAACTGGACTTACCCTTTCTAACACCTCAAATGGTCCATAAAACTTGGGCTGGAGTTTATGAAAAGAATGTTTAGCAAGAGATTGATGTTGATAAGGTACCAATATGAGAAACACCATATCCTCCACATCAAAAGACCTCTCAGTTCAATGCTTATCAGCTTGTTGTTTCATTCTCACTTGAGCAGTAGCAAGATTAGTCTTGGGTTGAGACAAAATCCTGCCTTTTTCTTGCAAATTCTGATCAACCAATCAAGTTTAGTTGCTCGAGACTCATAAGTAGGCACCAGGTGATGGTTGGCCATAGACAACCTCATAAGGTGTAAGCCTTGAAGAAGTATGAAAACTAGTGTTGTAATTCCATTATGCCCAAGGAAGCCACTAAACCCATTTTTTAGGTTGATGGTTGCAAAACATCTCAAGTAGGTTTCCAATCCTTTATTAGTCACCTTAGTCTGACCATCCATCTGAGGATGATAGCCCAAACTCATGCATAGCTTGGACCTTTGCAAGGTGAAAAATTCTTTTCAAAAAGAGCTTAGAAGAACAGGATCTCAATCACTCATTATCTTAGATGGCATACCATGAAGTTTGAAATCTGATAAACAAATAATTGGGCTACTGAGTGAGCAGTGTAAGGATGAGACATAGGTAAGAAGTGAGCATATTTTGAAAGTCAATCAACCACTACAAAGACAATTGTTTTACCTCTGCAAGCAAGGTTCTAAAAAACGCTAGGCACTAGTAGGGCACTTAGCTAGATTTAGGTAAATTTCTTGTAAATAAGTGCATATTGACACTTACAAAAAATTATACTTGTATGAAATCCATGAATAAAATAATAAAATAATGATAAAATGCAAACAGAGTATCCAACAAGTTCACAATTTAAAAACGCATTAAGCATATATGCCATATAACCACAGTGAGGAGTATTGTAGGATGACACATGTACAACAAGTTCACAATTTAAAACCACATAAAATGCAAAATAGGAGGAAAATAAGGAAATATAGTAATGTAAGATACTTGTAAAGTTACAAAGCTAAGCATCAAACTCTTCTTCACCATATCCCTCCAAGTCTCTCTCCGTATCAGACTTAAACTCAACTTCTTCATCATCTCCTTCTTCTTCTTCTTCTTCCGTGTCCTCATCTGATATAAAATCTTCTTCATGAAGTTTTCTTACTTCAACATTTTTAGAACTCCTCCTAGGCTCTAGGGAACTACCTACCTCCTCCGATGTCTCTCCAATTCCCGAACCAAGCTCAAGTTCTTCATAGCCACCCTCTACAATCCATCCTTGAACCATACTAGCTTCACTTGCAAGTAGTATGTCCACTTTCTTCTCCTTCTCTCTTTTCTTCTTGTTCATAATTCTTGCATTAAATTGGATATAGACTAAATTATTTAACCTTGTTGTATCTAGTCTATTCATTTTCTTTGTATGTATACCTTTAAAAGAACTCC